CCCCCGCGCCTCGGCGGAAACGCCGCCGCGGACGACGTCGGCGTGGTGCCGCTGTTGCATCGGCCCTCATGGAGGTGGATGGCGGTCGCGCGGCGGAGGACGAGGACTTCGACGACGCCTTCGCAGACGAGCTGCCCGTGGTGCGCGCGGCGCGGGGCGGCGGCGCGGCCGCGGCGGGCTTGGAGGCTGCGAGTGGCGTAGGGGTTCCTGCGGCCCTGCCCTCGGCCCACGGCTCGGAGGCGAAGCCCATCCAGTTGCAGGACCCGAAGGAGCACGTGAAGCATGCAGCTAGTTGGGTGGAGCTCTGGGAACGGCTGGACGACCTCGGCGATCGCGCTGGGGTCTCGCCGCGCGACGACGTCCAGGCGTTCCTCGAGGCGGCCCTGCTGGTGTCGCTGTCCGCGAGCGAACGCGTGGTGGCGAAGGCCGACCTGGATGTGCTCAGGACCTTCGACCGCGGCCGCCGCTCGGCGACGTCTGGCTCGTCATCCTAGCCCGCGCTGTGGCGCTGCTGCCCGTGGTGCTGACGTGCCTGGGCGGCTGGCGCCGTTGCGGCAGGCGGGGTGCTGCTGGCCGCGGCGCGGGGCGGGCCCCGCACTGGGCCTGGCGTGGAGCGCTGGGCCCTCGCGCCCTCTCCTGGGACCTCCGTGGCGTCCCCCTGCCATGGAGGCGAGGATGATTGAGGGCGGCGCAGCTCTGCTTGCGAGCTGGCCGCGCGGCCTGCTGGGCGGGCCCCTCGTGCTTCGGGCGCTGCCTGAGGCGCTATTCCGCCCTCTCCTGGGACCTCCGCGGCGCCCCCCTGCCACGGAGGCGAGGATGGAGGGCGGCGCGGCTCAGCTTGCGAGCTGGCCGTGCCGTGCGGTGGGCTCGGTCTCGCCGCCCTGAAGCCAGGCCTGCAGCCGTGAGGGCTGCGCGGCCTCGCGCGAGCGTTCGGGCGTCCGCGGTCGGCGCCGACCGACCGCGGCCGCTCCTTGGAGTGCGAGAGAGAGAGAGAGAGAGAGAGAGAGAAAAAGAGAGAGAGAGAGAGAGAGAGAGGGAGAGAGAGAGAGAGAGAGAGAGAGAGAGAGAGAGAGAGAGAGAGAGGAATAAAGAGGGAGGGAGGAGGCAGGAGAGGGGAGGTAAACGGGAGGAGGGAGAGGAGGGAGACGGGATAGGGCAGAGAGGCATAATGATGAGGGAAGAGAGGAGGGAGAGAGAAGGGAGGAGAGGATGGAGGAGAGAGGAGGTAGAGGGAGGATGAGCAGACATGTAAGGAAGAGCTTGAACGTCCGAGGAAGTCGTAGGCGAAAGCGCCGTTCCTGAAGGAAGTCTCGGGCGGGAGCCCACGACGGGCAGGCGATCCCCTGACGGGCGGGTCGGGCGGGCGGGACATTCAAGCGGGATGCCTGAGTATGGCGAGAGTGCGATTCTTAAGTAGATTTTGACGGCGTTCTTGGCGCAGCGTGTTTCCTGAGCGTCGAAAGCGCGACTTTGAATACGTTGCACGGAAGCCACAGGCGAAAACGCAATTCCTGAATAACACGTGAGGGGTTCTCTGGCGGGAACGGGGGTCTTGATTAAATTGCGAGGAAGTCTTGGGCCAATTGCGAGGAAGTCTAGAGCGGGAGCGCCCTGAGTAAATTGTGAGGAAGTCTCAGATGGGAGCGGGGGTCCTGACTAAATTGCGAGGGAGTCACAAGCGGGAACACTGATCCTGAGTAAATTTGGAGGAAGTAGGAAGTCTCATGCGGGAGCCGTTGTCGTTGCTATCCGGGGGGCCAGGGGCACAGTTTGAGCATCAATATTTTCCCTGTCAAAAAAACAGGGTGCGAGCGACGAGGAGCACACCTTGATTTCTTGAGAAAAAAATAGCATGCACCGGTGATGGGGGGATCAACAATCATTATTCTTCATAAATGTGAGTTCAACCACAACAGCAGCAACAACAACGGTATCAACAACAACAACAACCATATCAATAACAATATCAATCATATTCACAACAACTCCAACAACAGCAACGCACATAATCCTCACCACGGGTCCCCACTTCAGCCACGCACCCACAGACAACGAATGACCGTTGGGCCCCCTCACTCTGATCCATACCGCTGCCATTGCCTGGCTGCCCCCCCTGTTTGGGGCTCGTGGGAGGCCCTCGTCGCCACCACTGCTTCCCCCTCGAAATCCTAAGCAGAAAGCGCCCCAGGAGAGGTCCGGCGGCGAGCAAGGGGGGAAATGAGACGGAGAATGCCTTCTCAGAAGGCGGCGGGACTCCTCGTAAGCCCTCGCGCCTGCCCCGAGAAGTTTGCTGTGTCGTCGGTGGCGGGTTCGAAAACCTTTTCAGAAGGCTGGGGGACTTCCGAGCCCTCTGTGAAGGCCTGCCTGGAGAGTTTCTCCGAAGGGTTTAGGCGACCCGTCCTCCTCCGCCTCCTCCTCCTCCTCCTCCTCCTCCTCCTCCTCCTCCCTCCTCCCTCCTCCTCCTCTCCTCCCTCCCTCCTCCTCCTCTCCTCTCCCCTCCTCCTCCTCCTCCTCCTCCTCCTCCTCTCCTCCTCCTCCTCCTCCTCCTCCTCCTCCTCCTCCTCCTCCTCGGGTCGCCTGCGGCCCCGGGAGGGGAGCCGTGCAGGCCCGCCCCCTCTCGCTTCCCCCCCGCGCTCGCCGCCAGCCGGCGCACTGAGAGCCACCCGGGGCGCCGACGTCTCGCCGCCCTCGGCCTCGACGGGGGGCCGTGGCCGGGCGTTCCCGGGGGGCCGGCAGCTGGAGCGACCGGGGGCGGGAAGCGGGCCCTGTAGGGAAAGGGCAGGGGTCGGGGGTGGACAGAACCCCCAACAGTGACACGTCGATTAGTGAATTGTCCGTTTTCGGTTCTCGAGAGGGCGCCGTGGCCGTTATTTTCCAGGCTTGCGCCCGCCAGGTTTGGGCCTCAGGTCGTTTTCACTAAACCACGTTTTGCTAAAGGGGGGTCTGTCCATCCCCGACAGGGGTCGGGAGCCTTGAGACTTGAGAAAGGGCAGGGCGGGCCCTGTAGGGAAAGGGCAGGAAAGGGTCAGTGCAAACGGGGGTCAGCCAGGGCGCCAGATCCTGCAGGATCCCGCGAAGACCCCCTCTGGCTGACCCGGGTCAGCGAGCCGCTCGTGGCCGCGAGGCGGCCGCGCCGATTGGCTGACCCGGGTCTGCGAAGGTCTGCGTTGCAGTTTTTTGTCCTGCATTGCAGTTTTGGGTTTCCTGCTGACCCGGGTCTGGATTGACCCGGGTCAGAAGATCCCCGGCAGGGATCGGGAGGGTGGTAATGTTAAGTCGAGCCTGTCCCTCTACAGGAGAAATATCTTTAAAAGTAGTCCACAAAGAAAGGTCAGTGGACGATTGGTTTGACTATTTTCGAATATGTTAGGATTTTTTCTGTGTTTTCCAAATTTTCAGTTTTCGGCCGAAATCCGCCTGTAGGGGGACGTGCCCGACCTAATGGTAATGGGGGGTTGATTGGGGGTGGACAGAAACCCCACTCTGACACGTCGATTAGCGAATTGTCCGTTCTCGGTTCTCGAGAGGGCGCCGCGGCCGTCATTTTCCAGGCTTGCGCCCGCCAGGTTTGGGCCCGAGGTCGTTTTCACTGAACCACGTTTTACCAAAGGGGGTTCTGTTCATTCCCGAAGTGACCCATGTTGAACTGTTTGTTTTGGATCCAGAAACGGCAGTTGCCGACCAATTAGGCGACCGCGTGCCATCGGGAACAAGCGCATAAGCTTTCGGTGGGGATCGCTCGACGCAAAACAGTTCATCCGTTCCACGGGGAAACAACGAAACATGCATACACCAGGGTCCCGCATACACCAGGATCCGCTTCCCTGTGCAACTGTCAGTGCAGGGCCGGAAACGCGTCGGTGTGTAGAGTTCGGTACCCTACTCACTTCGCGCTCTGTTTCGAGCCTGGGGGGGGCCCTCGTCCCCCGCACGGAACACGGGGTCGAGAGTTCCAGTCGTGATTGTTGTCACGGTGTCGTGTGTTTGGAATTGTCGTTGAATTTATCTGTAGCAGGGACCGCGTCAATGCGAATGTGCGCATACTAGTTTTTGCCGTTGTCATGTCTGCCTGTGAGCTGTTTTATGTTGAAGCGCAGACGCGTTAAATAGCTGTTCGGCCTGTTGGAAGGCGTCGACCCGGAGACTCGGATAACGGAGCGAAGGTTATGCCGAGACAGCATGAGCCATACATCCGACAGCAATAACATGTGGCTCACGACGCAGCACCCTGTTGCTCTCGATCCCTTCCTCGAGACAGGCTTGTCGTCGCGGATGGTTTCTCTGGTTGCCCTGGGCCGCTAGAGCTCACGGTCGATTCGTGTCTTGTCGACGCGGCGAGGTCCCAGGCGCGGGCGTACAAGATTGAACGCCGCCAGTGGTCAAGAATTTGCCGGCATCGAACGATCCGGCTCGATTGCAAAACCGCGATCGCTCAGGGTTGAACGATCCACGCGGTGTCAGAATCAACGCGCAAGTCGACACGCCACGAATTGTCAGTAACCACTGTTTTGCAGGGTGCGAGAGCAAACAAGGAAGCACTGCCCACGGTGCCTAGCGCATGCAAGCCGCGGCCAAGAGTGGTGATGGATTCCCCACCGCTGTGCCGTTGATCGTTGCTCAACGGACGACCCGTAGACGCGCTAACGGCGATGCAGGTAACGGCGATGTAGGTTTCGGTATTGTGGGAACGCGCGGCTCGTGCTATCCTACAATTCGCTGTGTCGTTTTCGTTCGACACATCCGCACATCGGAAATGTAGGAAAGTGTGGTTCGTGATTTCCTACAGCTCGGTTTCCACCATCACCGTTAAGCAACATCGCCGTTAGCGTGGCCTTGGAGGACGTGGAAACTCGGGGCGATTTCGTAGGCGTTCGCGCGTAAGTTGTTGGTTCCTCATGCTCTTCCCTTCCGCAGGCATGGGCGCGCAGGCCGCTCGATGACGCCGCTCTCCCCACGCGCCGCCGCCGCTCCTTCCTTGCCCTCCCCCCCCACCCTGACAGGAGCCCCGCAGCCCAGGCAAGAGCGCGACCCCCGCCAGCCCCGTGCGTCAGCCCTCCCGCGACCTCGACAAGTCTGGAGTCCTGCAGGAGACGAGATGCGCAGGGGACCCTCCAGATGACGCCGACCGTTCTCCATCGTCCAGGCCCAAGGGGGGGGTGGGGTCAGAGGCTGCAGGAAGCCTGCTGCCTGTTGCCTCGGGCCCCGGACCCCACGGTATTCGAGAGCGGGCTCGCTGCGAGCACTGCGAGCACGCTGGTAGCACCTCAGGAAGCAGACGAGCGGGAGGAGACGGAGGATCTCGGCAAGGAAGACATGAGGCCTCCTCCCCAGACCCCCGACGTCGTGATGCTTCCGCAACGTCGACCTTCCAGAGGTCTGGACCCCTTCCTCGGGACCAATTTCTAGTCCTGCGTCGTCTTTTGCCGGTCCAGAGGCCCAGGAATAGGGACCGGACCCCGGGGAGGCCGACACGGGCCAATAGCTTCCCCCCTACGATTTTTCCAGGACGCGAGGGGACGTCTGGGGAGGAAGCAGACGAGCAGGAGGAGACCGAGGATCTCGGCAAGGAAGGCAGGAGGCCTCCTCCTCGTCACGCTATGAGCTTCCGACCCCCGCCCGGCCTCTCCTCCTCGTCACGCTATGAGCTTCCGACCCCCGCCCGCGAGAGCCACTTTTTTAAAGACCACCCGCCCTCAATCCGTGAAGCTCTTGCAAATGTTAAAGAAGAACGCGCGCCGCGCGAAGGCGAGAGCCACATTTTGAAAACCACCCGCCCTCAGTCCGTGAAACTCTTGCAACTCTTTAAAAAGCGAATGTGCGCCGCGCGAAGGCGAGAGCCACATGTTGAAGACCACCCGCCCTCCATATGTGAAACTGCTGCCGATTTTTAAGCTTCCGAGTCATAAGTGGTGAGGAAGTCTCAGGCGAAACTCCCTGCCCGCCCCAAAACCAGCCTCGGAGTGCGACAGGGAGAAGTTAATTATAAGGAAAGGAATGGAGGAGGAGGAGGAGGAGGAGGAGAAGGTACCCATACCGCTATCCATGCCTCGTGTTCCACTTTTCGGGCCTCCCGGGAGGCCCTCGTCGCCACCGCCGGATTCGCCTCGAAATCCTGGTCAGAACGCATCCTGGGAGAGGTCCGGGGAGCAGCGGTATCGGTACCTCTTGGTTTCTCCAGTGGAGGACTCGGGGTGTGTTATGTTGGTTGGGGCCACTTTCAGCGCGTCTCCTCCTCTCGTTTATCAACATTTCTCCTGGCCACACCTCGACCGCGCCCATGCCTCGGGCCACTATGCGCTACCCTCCCTTCTCCTGGCCACGCCTCTCTGGCGCCCCTGAGATCGGTGCATGTGGATAGTTGGCACTTGCTCCCTGCTTCTCTTCTCGTCGTTGGCATCGGCGACTTCTTCCTCGTCGTCCTCCTCATCGGCGGCCTCATCTTTAAGCTGGAGGAGTGGGTCTAGCGCAGATGTGTCGGCGGTGAGAGGGGCAATCGTTCATTAGTTGTGTTCATCAGTTATGTCGTATTGCTCGCATTTTTACCGAACAATGGCGAGGGGACCCGATGTATTGCACGAACAACACCTAGTGCATATGAACAGCATTACCCTGCGACGTACCCAATTAATTGGCACTCAGGGATAATATAAGGTGTGCCGACAATAATGTGATAGCAACACTGCAAGAGACGGTGCACGGTGGATATCCATGTTGTGCGAAATGTGCGTGGCCGACTCGCAGAACAGAGATACACAAGGCCAGGAGGCATTGCACTGGGAAGGCGAAGCACAAGAAGAGACATCGGGGTGGAAGAACAATCAACTCAGCAGACGCAGCGAGATGATGGCGAGGTCTTTTTGGGATCTGCATGAGACCCCACTGCGTGGGATCTGTGTGTGTGTGTTTGTGTGCGTGTAGTTCCGCCAAAGCAGTCACGAAAATTGCGAAATGGGAATGTGTCGGGAGGGAGGAAAGGCAGAAAAACAAGAGGTAGGAGGACGCCAACCTTCCAAGTAGCTCCGACCCAGGGCGCAGGATCGTTCCGTGTGCCTTCCTGGCAGTATTGGCCGCGAGCGTGCTCCATCCATATGGAAGGTTCGCTTTGTGCCGGCGCGGCAGCGACGCCAGCGCGAGTGTTCAAGGTTGAGCGCCGCCAGGGGCTGGGGATCTCCTGCTATCGCATGATCCGCGTTGTCGGGAAGGCGCGATCGTTCAATGCTGAACGATCCATCAAAATCAAATGTGATCGCTTCGCTCATTCCGCCGGCCCATATTGCCTCCCCCTGTCGTTTGTCAGGGTGTTGTTGTCAACGCGGTGCGGTTGGGCGGCTGACATTTTTCGGAGGCGGTGGGTGGCGGGTCAGATGCCTCACGGATGTTGGTTGGGCTCTCGGGGTTGGCCTCTCAGGGGATTTTTGGGAGGCAGTTTTGAGGCCTCTTGGGGGCCGTGTTGGAGCCTCTTGGGGGCCTCTTGAGGGCCTCTTGGGGTGCCTCTTGGGGGCTCCTTATGGTCTCTTGGGGCCTCCTGGGGGCCTTTTGGGACTGAATGCTTTCGGTTCCTGGTCACCTTCTTGGGCCCCTCTTGGCGCCGTTTCGGGGCTCTCTTGGGTCGTCTTGGGCGCCTCTTGGGCTGTCTTGGGGCCATCTTGGGCCGTCGTGGGGCTGTCTTGGGGTCCTCTTGGACCCTCTTGGGGCGATCTTGGGAGCCTCTTAGGCCATCTTGGAGCGTCGGGAAGCCGAAAAAGGAGACACCCGAAAAAGTGTCCAAAACCTAGGGGCAATCAATGGATTTTGCCTCTTGGGGCCCTCTTGGGAGTTCTTTTGGATGCCTTTGGGGGCGTCTGGAGGCCATGGAGGGCGTCTTGGAGCGATCCTGTGGCATCGTCCGCCGATCTTTCGAGGACTCCAAGGGCTCATGGACCCTCTGGGCGCTCTCTTGAGGCCGTCTTGGGCGCCTCTTGGGCCGTCTGGGGGGCCTCCGGCATCTCTGGCGGGCACTTGCCGGGACTTTGGCGGGCTACTTTTCGCGTCGGGGCCCCCAGGGGCCGCCTCGCGCGCGCGAACTTGTTCTTTGTTAACTTGTTACCGGAGACCTTAGCACGCCTCTGGTCCTTTGGGCCGGCGAATGATCCTGGCGAAGGACCCAACCGTATGCAGTTATAAGTAACGCGTCGCAGGTGCCGCTTTCGGTGGAGCTGCCTATTGGGCCACGAAGCGCGTGAGGGACGTGCCGTAATGGGTGGGGGAGGCGCATGCGGGCGGTGCCACTGGGGCCTTCGGTGGGGCTCCCTACGGGGCCACGAAGCGCTGAATTGGGTGGTGGCTGACGCATGCGGGCGGTGCGGTGCCCCTCGCTGGAGCTCCCGACGGGGCCACGAAGCGCTGCACTCGTCGGGGGCAACGCCTGCGGGCGGTGCCGCTGGGGTCTTTCTGTGGAGCTCCCTGCGGGGCCACGAAACGCTGCACTGGGTGGTGGCCGACGCGAGCGGGCGGTGCCACCTGGACCTTCGGTGGGGCTCCCTATGGGGCCACGGGAGGGGGGGACGCGTGCGGGCGGTGCCACCTGGGGCCTTCGGTGGAGCTCCCTATGGGCCCACGGACCGCTGTGCTGGGTGGGGGGTCGCATGCGGGCGGGCCTCTGGAGCTCCAGATGGGGCCACGAAGTGCTGCATCGGGTGGGGGGGACGCATGCGGGCGGTGCCGCTGGGGCTTGGTGGGGCTCCCAAACAATGGGGCCGCGAAATGCAGTGCTGGTTGGTGGGCGACGCAAGCGGGCGGTGCCATCGGGGCCTTTCTGTGGAGCTCCCTGCGGGGCCACGAACCGCTGCGCTGGGTGGTGGCTGACGCATGCGGGCGGTCCCACTGGGACCATCGGTGGAGTTCCCCATGGGCCCATGAAACGTCGTACTGGGTGGTGGCTGACGCATGTGGGTGGTCCCACTGTGACCTTCGGTGGAGCTCCCTATGGGACCACGAAGCGCTGTATTGTATTGGGTGGTGGCTGACGCATGCGGGCGGTGCCACTGGGGCCTTCGGTGGAGCCCCCTCTCATGGGGCCACGGAACGCGTTGCTGGGTGGTGGCTGACGCATGCGGGCGGTCCCATTTGGGCATTCGGTGGAGCTCCCTATGCGACCGCGAAACGCTGTGGCTGACGCATGCGGGCGGTGCCACTGGGGCCTTCGGTGGAGCCCCCGTATGGGGCCACGAAGAGCTGTGCTGGGTGGTGGCTGACGCATGCGGGCGGGAGGTCCCACTGGGACCTTCGGTGGAGCTCCCTATGGGGCCACGAAACGCTGTGCTGGGTGGTGGCTGACGCACGCGGGCGGTGCCACTGGGGCCTCCAGTGGAGCTCCCTAGGGGGCCACGAAACGCTGTGCTGGGTGGTGGCTGACGCATGCGGGCGGTCCCACTGGGGCCTCCAGTGGAGCCCCCTCATGGGGCCAAGAAACGCTGTGCTGGGTGGTGGCTGACGCATGCGGGCGGTCCCACTGGGGGCTTCGGTGGAGCTCCCTATGGGGCCACGAAACGTTGTACTGGGTGGGTGAAATGCAGGGAGGAGGGAGGAGGGGGGAGGGGGAGGGGGAGGAGAGAGGAAGAAGGAGGAACGCGGGGACCGTCTTTTCAAAACGAGGACCCAACACCACAGGATGGTTGGGAGTGAGGCGTTCCAAGAAGGGTCTCGCCTTCGAGGATCGAAGGTCAGCCTTTCCTCGGCGGGAGGCGGCGGAAGGCCTGTCGAAGTCGGCCGAAGCACGACGAAGCAGCCTCCACTGCCGGAAGTCGGCGAAAGGGCGACGGTCGACACCAGAGAGGGTGCGCAGGGGGTGGTCTCTCACCGCGGCGTCTATGCGTGCCAAGGTCGGAGAGCGTGGCAGGCGTGGCACTTTCTCGACACCAGGGGGGGTGCGCAGGGGGTGGTCTCTCACCGCGGCGTCTATGCGAGCCAGGGTCGGAGAGCGTGGCAGGCGTGGCACTTTCTCGACACCAGAGGGGGTGCGCAGGGGGTGGTCTCTCACCGCGGCGTCTCAGGGTCCGCGGCGTCTATGCGTGCCAGGGTCGGAGAGCGTGGCAGGCGTGGCACTTTCTCGACACCAGAGAGGGTGCGCAGGGGGTGGTCTCTCACCGCGGCGTCTATGCGTGCCAGGGTCGGAGAGCGCGGCAGGCGTGGCACTTTCTCGACACCAAAGAGGGTGCGCAGGGGGTGGTCTCTCACCGCGGCGTCTATGCGAGCCAGGGTCGGAGAGCGTGGCAGACGCGGCACTTTCTCGACACCAGAGAGGGTGCGCAGGGGTGGTCTCTCACCGCGGCGTCTATGCGAGCCAGGGTCGGAGAGCGGGGCAGGCGTGGCACTTTCTCGACACCAGAGAGGGTGCGTAGGGGGTGGTCTCTCACCGCGGCCCCTATGCGTGCCAGGGTCGGAGAGCGCGGCAGGCGTGGCACTTTCTCGACACCAGAGGGGGTGCGCTGGGGGTGGTCTCTCACCGCGGCCTTTACGCGTGCCAGGGTCGGAGGGCGTGGCAGGCGCGGCACTTTCTCGACACCAGAGGGGGTGCGCAGGGGTGGTCCCCCACCGCGGCGTCTATGCGAGCCAGGGTCGGAGAGCGTGGCAGGCGTGGCACTTTCTCGACACCAGGGGGGGTGCGCAGGGGGTGGTCTCTCACCGCGGCGTCTATGCGTGCCAGGGTCGGAGAGCGTGGCAGGCGTGGCACTTTCTCGACACCAGAGAGGGTGCGCAGGGGTGGTCTCTCACCGCGGCGTCTATGCGTGCCAGGGTCGGAGAGCGTGGCAGGCGTGGCACTTTCTCGACACCAGGGGGGTGCGCAGGGGGTGGTCTCTCACCGCGGCGTCTATGCGTGCCAGGGTCGGAGAGCGTGGCAGGCGTGGCACTTTCTCGACACCAGGGGGGGTGCGCAAGGGGGTGGTCTCTCACCGCGGCGTCTATGCGTGCCAGGGTCGGAGACCGTGGCAGGCGTGGCACTTTCTTCGACACCAGGGGGGGTGCGCAGGGGGTGGTCTCTCACCGCGGCGTCTATGCGTGCCAGGGTCGGAGAGCGTGGCAGCGTAGCAGGCGTTGCATTTGGTGCATCTCCATGACACCAGAGAGGGTGCGCAGGGGGGGGTCTCTCAGCGCGGCCTCTATGCGTGCCAGGGGCGGAGAGCATGGCAGGCGCGGCACCTTCTCGACATTTGAGGGGGTCCGCAGGGGTTTGTCCTTTATGCGTGGCAGAGTCAACGCAGTGGGTGCGCAGGGGGTGGTTCCTCAGCGCGGCCCCACATGCGTGCCAGGGCGGGAAAGCGCGGCATGCGTGGCAGCCGAAACTGTAGACATCCTGGCCCGAAAATTGCAGGTGGTGCCGTGCCCCCCGCGCCCGTCAGAGAACCCCACGAGTACCACGACGGGTGCGACGACGAGTACGACAACGAGTGCGACGAGTAAAACGAGTACGACGACGAGTGCGGCGATAACAACGACGACGACGACGAGTGCGACAGCGATTACGACGACGAATGCGACGAACAGTACGATGACGAGATACGACGACGACGAGTACGAAGACGACGAGTACGACGACGAGTACGACAACGAGTACGACGACGAATACGATGAGTACGACGACGAGCGCGACGAGTACGACGACGACGCTGAGTATACTCAGCACGACGACGCTGGTACGACTAGTCTGGTTGGCGTGGTCTGGTTGGTCTGGTCTGGTCTGGTTGGTTTGGTCTGGTTGGTCTGGTTGGTGTGGTTGGTTGGCCTGGCTGGCTCGTGTGGCTGCTCTGCTTGATTGGCCTGGCTGGCTGGTATGATTACTTTGGCTGGTTATGGCTGGAACAACTGATCTGACTGGTCTGGTCAGTCCGGCTGGTCTGGCTGATCTGGCTGGTCTGGTCAGTCTGGCTCGTCAGGATGGCGAAGCGGGATGTGATATGGTTTGTGAACACACGTGACATAAAATAAGTATGTGGGGTTCCTCGGTAGCGTAATTTTCATGCCCGCTTTTGTTTTAATCGAGTGGGGAAGGGCGAGCCTTCTCCCCAGGGGGGAGCACAGCCCGAGTGAGGGATCGAGAGTACGTACTGAGGGGTCATGGTGCACCTCTGGACCTCTGGCGGCGTTCGGGTATAGCCAGGACCCCAGGTATAGGGACCTTGTTAGTAGTACAGTGGGGGCGCGTGCCAAGAAACCAGTTGGATTTTGCCAGGGTGCCCTGGGTTTCTTGGACCCAATCAGATCTTGACGATTTTCGATGGACACATGTGGATTTTCACTGAACAGATCGCATATTTCAGGGTTGGGTTTCTTGCGGAGGTTTCTTGTGGCCGAGCCCCCACTGTAGGGCCCCGGAGCCCCTAAATTGGCCAGAATCACTAAACCAGGTCTGCCGTAGCTCGTGTTTTTTTCGGGTGACGGCAGTTCCGGATAGTGGAAGGGGGCACTCATTAGGTCCCACTAAGCCCAGTTCTGCCAACGCCCGAGTCGTGCTTCTCACGACGTGGGCCGTAAGAGTTCTCGACCACATCCCTGGGATCGTTTTTCGTCGGCGCTCAGGGGACAGGAAACGGCAGGGCCCGTCTCGATCTGAGTCGATATGGTTTCGGCCGGCCAGATCCCATTCGACCCCTTGGCGGTGCCGATCCGACTCGATTCCGAGTGCGTGCCAATGCGGCCCGATCAGACGCACATTCCGATTCGATCCGATTTCCCGATTCGTTGCCGACTGATTCCGAAAGGGCCCCTGGAGGCCCAGCGTCAACAGCAATCCGACCGCTGCGACCACTCCGCGACGCCTGGGTATGCACCCGGAGCCGACAGGAAAGGTCGGCCACGCTCAGAAGGGGGTAGGGGGAGGGTTGAGGGCTTCTCAGACGCACCCCTGCTTCTCAGTCGGGCCTGCTCCTCTACAGGAGGGAGATTCAAAAATAGTAAAAAATAGTCTGGGGATGATGTTTTGAGTGATTTTGAATATTTGTTGAATATGTTCTGTGTATTTTTGTTGATTGTTCTTCCAAGATCCCCCTGTAGGGGGACATACCCGACTTAACCCTGCTTCTCGGAAGGCGCGGGCCTCGTCTATAGATGTAAGACCTGCGCCTTCTAAGAGGCAGCCTCGTTCTGAGAAGCCTCCCCCCCTCCCACTGCACAGTCGACCCGCATCCTAAGGATGAGCGATTTCCCAAGGTCACCCTTGCATCCTGCCCCTTCGACGCGTCCTTGGCCACCCTCGCTGGCCGCGCCCCACTCGCAGAGTTGCGACGTGGCCTTCCAAGGCCCTTGCATTCAGCGAGCGAAGACCGGTATAAAATAAACTTTCCGCCGTCGGGGACACTTGCCCCTGGGCGGCTGGAAAGTTTACACCCCTACGGTGCCGCCGTAAGGGTATAAACTTTCCAGCCGCCCTGGGGCAGGTGTCCCCGACGGCGAAAAAGTTGATGTCATACCGTTCTTCGCCCGTTGATGCATCCTCCGCGCGCGTCCTTCTTCTTCGGGCTCGCCCGCGGGTGGGGGGGGGGGCGCAGGCTCAAGCTCCGGAGCAAGCACGCAGAGGAGAAGCTGAGCCTCACCGTTGAGGAGGTGCGGTTCCGGGAGGAGCTGAGGGCGGACGAGCTGCCCAGGGAGCCCCCGCCGCAGGAGGCGCGGCGCCTGCCGCGCTCGCGCCCCCCCCGGAAGCTGTGCCCGCCGCTCCGCCCCTGCCTCGGGAGCGAAGCGAGGACGCGCGTGCACAGGAGTTGGCGCCTCCTCCTCCTCTACCACCTCCACCTCCACCTCCACCTCGACCTGCCTCCTCCTCCTCCTCCTCCTCCTCCTCCTCCTCCTCCTCCTCCTCCTCCTCCTCCTCCTGAGCCGCCACCAAAGTACAGGTCGGAATGGAACGGAGGGCCCCCCCCACCAGGAAGTCGGGTTCGGTCTCGTGTTCATCGTCGCGCGCGCGGGCGAGGCGAAGCTGCGCGGGCGCGCGGGAGGGGTGGGCCCCGCCGTCGCCGGGGCGGCTCGGGGATGCAGTGGGCCGCTCCTCTGCCCCCCCAGTGGGTGCGCGTTGGCCCAGGGTGCTCCGCCGTGGTGCCCCGTTGGTGTCCCGTCGGTGTCCCGTCCTCGTTCCGTCGGCGGTGGGCGGGCGGTGGCCGGGCTTGTCCCGCCGTGGTATCGATAGGGAGTTCGATAGTGAGGTCGATGACGATATCGCCAGAGTGGGATCGATCGCGAGATCGGCAGTGTGGTCGATTGCAACACTGGTCGTGAGATTGACCGTGGGATCGATGGTGAGATCGACAGAGGAATCGATAGGGGGACCGACAGCGAGATCGGTTTTGATATCGAAACAGAGACCGATCGTGAGAACGATAGTGACAATACATCGCAGCGCAGCATCGTCATCACGCGTCGTCGCTAACTCGAGGGCTCGTTATTAGCATCGTCATCATCACACCCATCGTATTTGCCAGCAGTTGGTGCTACCCCCCACCCCCCAACCTCCTGATCTCCAGATGTTCCGGGGTTCTTCGACAGGCCTCTACACACCCTTCTGGGGTGGTCGTATAGGTAAACAGACACCCCCCAATGGATTGTTCCTGGGCCTCAGGGGAGGGTGGCGGTGTATAAGTCACCCCTGTGAGCCGGCGACTCTACACACCACCACCCTCCCTGAAGGTGCAGGTAACGTTTGTGGGAGGGTGCCCGTGCAGGTATGGTGGCGGCGTGCGCGGGGGCGCACTGGGCGGTCGTTGGGGACACTCGGAGGAGGAAGCTGTACCACTACCGCTGCCCTGACCCCCCCTTCTTCGCCTCGCAGGAGGAGGAGGAGGAGGAGGAGGAGGAGGTATCACTACCGCTGCCCTGGCCCCGTTTTCGCCCCTCCGGTGCTCCCCCGGGAGGCCCCCCGTCGACGCACCGCCGGCTCCGCCTCGGCGGCCTGCTCGGCACCGCACACCCTGGCACGGCCCGGGGCGCAGCGGCATCGGCACCCTCCTGGCCTCCCCAGACACGAGGGCCCCGAGGGCGGCCTCGCAGGCAGAGTCGTCGGAGGTGTCTGAAGGTGCAGGCAGCGTTTGCCCGAGGGTGCCCAGGAGAGCCCAGAGGCGCAGCGGCATCGGCACCTCCCGGCTTCCCCCAGGCACGAAGGGGCCTCGAGGGCGGCCTCGCGAGCATGGGGGGGAGGGATGCCGATGCAGAGTGGCCGGGCGCCTGCGTCCCTTTCCTTTGAGGAGGGGAAAAAAGACACACAGACACAATGAATCGTCGATTCCCCAGGATGGATATATATATATATATATATATATATAGGAAACTATGGGAAGAGGGGGGGGGAGGCAAAAACCCAGAAAAATATGGGAACATATGGGGAATCCTTTTATCTGTGTGTATTTATTTGCGCATCCTGGTACTCCTTCATCCTTTGCTCCACGCAGCCGTTGGCCTCCGGCGCCGCGGCGCGGGAGCTGGGCGGGGATCGCCTCGCGGCCTGTGCGTCCGTGGCCCGTGTCTGGACCGTGTCGCCACCGTCGGCGGCGGTCGAGGGGGGAGATGCGAAGGAGCAGGCCCTTTCAGAAGGTGGCGGGACTTCGCAGAGCCCTGGCGCCTTCTGAGAGGTTTTTTCTGCGCCTTCGGGGAAGGGGCTTCGAAAACTTCTCAGAAGGCCCAGGGGACTCCCGAGCCTTCTGAGGAGGTCTTCTCCTTTCACTTCCCGCCCTGGCTTGCCGCCGAGTGTGGCCATCGAGCACGACCTGCGGCAGGGAAACGGGGGCTCAGATGGGGGCGAACACTGTGCACCTTACCGCGCTGGCGCCTCGCGAGGCGTCGTGGATCCGTCCTCGACCCTGGCATGGCACGATGCAGCAGGTTTTTCAGGCCCCCACAGCCGAGAAGCGATGCGCCGTGCCGCGTTGGCGCGGGGTCTCGAGGGAGTCCAGGCATGGCGCGGTGCACGGGCGCCGTTGGCGTATTCCTGGGGACCATGCAGCCGGGACAGGTCACGATGTTGGAGGCCTGGCTTCTCTCTCTCCTCTCCTCTCCTGCGGCTCCGCCACGGGATGCTGCACCAGTGGCCCTCGCCCTCCTCCCACTCCCGGCTGAGCGTGCGCGAGCCCGCCCACGGCGGCGTCGGCGAGGGAGGCCTGTGAGAGGAGGGCCCTGGCCCGAGCGCCCTGGCCTTCAGTCGGGCGTGTCCCCCGACAGGGGGATCGTCGACGAAACATAAGGAATACCCCCACAAAGATAGTCTAAAGATACTCTGGAACTAGTCTGGGGACTATTTTCTGAGTATTTGTTGGCCTTCTTGGGGTATTTTTTAGGTGTTTTTTTCGTCGACAATCCCCCTGTAGGGGGACACGCCCGACATAACCCTGGCCCCCCGTGCCTCGGTGCGGGCCGTGCGCGCGCCTCGTCCCCGTCGCCGGCGGCGGCGGCGCCGGGGTCGAAGGGCGCGCGCTCTGCTCCGCCCGGGAGGCGCTGCCCCGAGGTCAGGCCGAACGAGGGGGGGAGACAGGGAAAGGGGAGGAGGAGGAGGAGGAGGAGGAGGAGGAGGAGGAGGAGGAGGAGGAGGAGGAGGGGTGGGGGAGGAGGAGGAGGAGAGGAGGAGGAGGAGGAGGAGAGGAGGAGGAGGAGGAGGAGGAGGGGAGGAGGGAGGGGGGGGAGGCAGGGGGAGACTTGAGCCACCGCCCTCCTCCTCCTCCTCCTCCTCCGACTCCCCTCTCTCTTTCTCTCTCCTTACACCTTCTCTTTGTCGATGGTGCTCCTCGCCTCCCGCCCCCCGCCGAGGCTCCCCTCCTCTCGGGCCGGACGAAAGGGGGGGTTGGGAAAGGGGGGGGTACGACATCTGCTGCATGCAGCTGGTTTCGGCCCCGCCGCCGGGCCCGTTCCTCGATATACAGGGGCGCCTCCCGGCGCCGGGGGGCGCCGGGAAAGTCCGTTATGCGTGGGCTGAGTCTCAACCCACCCCTGTGCTATCCCCCCCTCTTTCGCCCGGCCCGATGATAGCTGGCACGGGGCTTGCAGCTGGCACCCGGGCCTCGGAGGAAGAGGATCTCATGCTCTTCGAGTTTGGGGTCCCCGCCAGTGAACGTCCCTCGTTTTGTCCATCGCCCTGGGGTTTCCCTCGCGCGGTGGGCGTCACCACCACCTCCCCTGGGGGAAGTCCTGGAGGCCTCGTGCGGCGCGCCATAGTTGCATCGTCTAGTCCACACGTCCGCTTCGTCGGCTATGGGACGACGCTCGCGCGGCCACGTTGCGACGTAAGTCCGACGTGACTCCGACGCAACTCCGACGCGAATCTGCCGTGGACCCGACGCAAATTCGGTCTCGAGTTGCCGCGCGAGGCCTCCAGGATTTTCCTCGTAATACCCCCCGTCGAGCCCGTGCGAGCCTCGATGACAGAAGGGCCCCGGCCCGACCGCGCCCGCTTTCCGGGCCCCACCCGCGAGCAGACCTGGGCGCGGCTTGCTCATCACGCTGCACCTCTGTCTGTACGCCGTACGCTGCTGTGTTTGTGCATCTCTGACGCGTGTTCGACACGTGGTCGGCGTTCGAGGTGGTTTCGACACGGACGGGTGCCGGCACGATGGGATAGAGGTCCCGCGAAGGTGCATCGTAATGCTCGTTCGATTGCCCTCCCGGTGCAAGAGTTCTCTGCGCAACTCAGGTGTGTGAGTTTTGGGGAGCTTGTGAGCCTCTTGGGAATTCGATTCCAGGATTTCTAGGAAATCGTGTGCCTCAGCTACTGGAACGATCTTGTGAGGCCACCTTGGGTCATCTGGGGCGCTCTTGGAAAATCTGGTCAACTCTGACGACCCGCGACCCCTCCCGTTCAGACCCAGGGGAGGGGATTTACGGGGTGGGGTAAAACGCCTCCCCACAGGTGACGAACGGGGTTGGAAGAACGAACTCGCCAAACCACCTATACTCTAAATGTAGCATTCTGGCGATCCAGCGCCGCACCGGCAGCGCACTAGACGGATTCCAGCCACCGTCGTCAGCTCAAGACATCCACCTATCTACCTCTGGTTTCATCTGACCAGTCTCAAGTTTCCAGCTTCCGATTCCCAACATTCACCACTTACAGTCGGGGCGCTGAAGAAGGAACCCTTTTCGTCGGGGAAGGGCTCCGTGTTCCCTGATTGTTTCACAGCTTGCCTTAGGTTGTCCTTAGGTTTTCGATGGGAAATCGAGCTTTAACTGATGGGAAAAAGGGGCCTCGTTCCTTATTTAGGGTTCCTTAGGTCAACGCCCCGACGGTATCGCTCCCCAGTTTCCCACCTCCAGCTTTCGACCACCACCTGTCTCCAGCCGAAGACCTCCACCTGCCGCCTTCCCGCCTCACCTGACCGACCTCTAGCTTCCAACTTCCGACTCCGACCATCCGCCGCTAGCTGATGGCATCCAGTTTTCCGCCTCCGGCGTTCGATCCTCGCCTGTCAACCCCTCGCCTCCTGTGGCCGACCTCCAGTCTCCAACTCCCGACCCCCGGCATTCACCACCACATGCCGCCATCCAGTCCTCTACCTCCAGCTCTCCACCTCCGCCTGTCGGCCTCCAGCCGCAAAAGGAGGACCTTCAGTCTTAAGAACAATATGCAGACATGTATAAGTACCTAGATATCTCTGAAGTTGACACAACGCAGCTTTGGAACAAAATCGATCAGGAGTTCTGACCGGCTCAACGGTACCCATTTGTGGGCGTGCTTCGTGCTTCGCATTTGCGCCCTCAAGAGTTGTTGGGGCTCACAAGCTTCTGGGAACTCGGACTCAGGAGTCATGTATAAAGAAACGGGATGGGTGAGGAGGAGGAGGATGAGGAGGAGGAAAAGCAGGAGGAGGAGGAGGACTTGGGGGGAGGGTGGGGAGGAAGGGGGAGGGGGAGAGGAAGAGGATGAGAAGGAGGCGGGGAGATGCGGAGGGGAGCGGGAGGAAGAAACAGGAGGAGGGGGGGGAGGAGGAGGAGGATGAGGAGGGAGGAGGAGGTAGGAGGAGGAGGAGGAGGAGGAGGAGGAGGAGGAGGATGGAGGAGGAGGCGGAGGAGGAGGAGGGAGGCGGAGGGGGTAGGAGGAGGAGGCGGAGGAGGAGGAGGAGGAGGAGGAGGAGGAGGAGGAGGAGGAGGGAGGAGGGAGGAGGGGGGGATATGGAGGAGGAGGAGGAGAAGGCGAGGAGGAGGAGGGGGCGGATGAGGAGGAGGAGGCGTATGAGGACAATGGCGAAAAGGAGCCGTTGGCGGGGGGGCACTTGGGAGTGAGCGCGGAGGTCCGGGAAGAGGAGGGAGTCATGGGGGGAGGAGTGCCCGAGGGGAGGGACGTGGGGAGCAGTGGGAGGAGGGAAGCAGCCAGGGAAACCGGGTGGGAGCAGCAGAGGGGGCGGAGGAGCAGAAGGCGGGCGAGCTCGACGGGGGACGCCCCGGGCAGGTCGCTGCGACCGCGGAGGCGGTGACGCCGACCGAAGCCCACCTCGCCGAGGTCGCCAGGCTGGAGGCGCGGGCGGGGAGGGAGGAGGGAGGGATGCTTTCCGACGAGGCTGGGACGAGGATGAATCCGTTCCAATGTTTTTCGTAGTTTTCTCAGCGCGTTTCAGAGTGCTTTGGGAAGGCCGCGGTGACCGAGACATGCTCCGTCCGATTTGTAGAGATTCCTGTTCTATCCTCACCCGATGCTATCCTCGTCCTGGCTTCCTCTTATGCTTGGACGGAGGGAGGGGTGGGGGAGAAAAAGTAGTTGCAAGCATAGTAGTAGTAGTCGTCATCGTCGTCGTCGACGTCGTGGTAGTCGTAGTCGCAGTAGTAGTAGTAGTAGTAGTAGTAGTAGTAGTAGTAGTAGTAGTAGTAGTAGTAGTAGTAGTAGTAGTAGTAGTAGTAGTAGTAGTAGTAGTAGTAGTAGTAGGAGTAGGAGTAGGAGTAGGAGTAGGAGTAGGAGTAGGAGTAGGAGTAGGAGTTGTAGTAGGAGCAGGAGTAGGAGTAGGAGTAGGAGTAGTAGCCGTAGTCGTCGTAGTAGTAGTAGTAGTAGTAGTAGTAGTAGTAGT